TTTATTTAGATTATTCTTTTATTAGAAATAAAGAATAACTTAAGTAATAAGAGTTTTAGCTTAGAGTATTTATATAAAAATTATTATAATTAATTTTAATTAGCTTTTGTATTTTAATTATATTTTTAATAATTATTTAATAAATAATTATATTAAATTTAGCTTTTTTTAATTATCTAATTAGCTAGTATTACTAATAATAAAAAGAAGTTTATTAAATTCTTTTAGAAAACTCTTTTAAATTTTATTTTATTTTATTATTATAATATATATAACTTGTGAATAGGCTTATTAAATAAGTTTTAGATTAGCTTAGCTTAACTTAGTTAATCTATTAAATTTAAAAATAGATTTTTCAGTAATTAATAATTATATTATCTATCTAATTAAAAATAACTTATTAATAAAATAAGAAATATCTGCTTTTAGTTTCAAATTTATTTTTATTAAAAGAATTAATATAATAAAAATATAAATAAAATTATAAATTTAAAATATTTTTAAATTTTTTTAAATATCTAAATATATAAAAATATAATTTATAATTATATTATTTTTTTAATTCTTTCTGATTTTTTTTAAATATATTTTATTAAAGATATTAAAATAAAAGAAAGTTATATATATTCTATATATATATATCTTATCTTTTCTAACTTTTAAAATATATATAAAAAAGTTCTTAAAAAAATTAGAAAAGAATTAGAAAAAAATTAAAGAAATAATATAATTATAAATTATATCTTTATATATTTCTAAATTAAAGAAGAATTTTAAAATCTCTTGAATTTAAAATTTCATTTATACTTTTATTATATATATATTGTTAATAGAGATATATATATTATAAAGATTACTTAAAAAAATAAATTAAATATAATAATTTTAGATAATTAAGCTATATTAAATCTATTTCAATAATTAATAAAAGACTTAATAACTTATTAAGTAAATTAAAAATTTATTTAAATTTTTATTTATAAGTCTGATCAGGTCCTGGCAAAAGCCCTGGACTCGGCTGAGCCGGCTTGTTAATCTTTTTTAATCTACTCAGGCTTGATATTTTGACAAGCCTATATTACACAGGTGTTGTCAAGTATTTAGGATTTAGAGAATTTATATAAGAACCCTATAACAGCTATATATAATTAAACAAATTCTTAAATAAAATTATAAAATAATTCTGCTTATTTTATTTAAGTCTGTAATTAATATTATTATTATTCTTTTTTAAATATAATATATATATATATATATATATATATATATATATATATATATATATATATATCTTTTTAATAACAAAATCTATAGAAGTCTTTTATAAATATTATTAAATTAAAAAAAAGAAAAAAAAGTCCGCTATAGATAGTATTTAATTAATTTTTTAAAACAATAATACTAATTTAATAAATAAATTAATAAATGATTAAAGTTTAATCTAAAATAATAGGATTTTTAAAATTATTATTAACTTTATATATTTTTAATCTGAGTTAGTAAATTATTTAATATTATATTAATTAATAAAAGACTTATTTACTATCCGCGAGAATCTATTTATATATATAAATCAGTCTATAAAACTTAATTATTAAAAAAATAAAGAAATTAAATATTAAAAATATTATATATACTTTTTTCTCAATATTAATTATTTTCTAGAAAATTAATTATTTGAATATTTATAGATAAAATTCTATTATATTTTTTAAATATAATGTAAATTTATTCTCTATAATAAATATAATTATTATTATTATTATTATTATTACTAATACAGGTGACTGTAAAAAAAAGAAGAAATTAATAAGAAATTTTATTATTATTATTAAAATAAATAACTGCAGAAGAAGAGCAGAAATCAATAAAAAAAGAATTAAATATTTATATTTTTTTATTAAATTTTTATATCGAGTAAGTAAATATTAACTACTAGTAATGAATATCTTTTATTTATTCTTCTTATGAATAATTATTAACTTAATTAATTAAGAATATTAAGAATAATCTGAGCAGAAATTAATTAGTAATAAAAGAATTATATTTATTTCTCTTATTTATTATATATAAAGAGTCAGAAAGACTTATTTAATAATAAATCTTAATTAGTAATAAAAGATTATACTTATTTCTTTTATTTTTTATATATAAAGAATTTAAGAAAAGGTTACTTAATAATAAATCTTAATAGTAAGAGAATTATATTCTTTATTATAGTGGCTAATAACCAGGGTAGGTTAATAATAATAATTAAAAAATTTAGATAATAGTTAAAGTATTTTATAAGAATTAAAATAAGTATATAATTATTATTTAAATAATAAGTATAATCTAAACTAGATAATTATATAATTAATTCCTAAATTATAAAATATCTAATAGTTAAAAATTATTATATAAAATAAATCTAAAATTAATTAATTATATATCAAATATAGTTTAATTATATTAAATAATATTTAAAATATAATTTATAAATAAATATTAGATATTCTTTCATACTTAATTTTAAAACTTGTATTTTATAATTATTTTAGATCTAAATATACTTTTTAAGAGGTTGGTTCTTAACCTGTATTTTCACTATTAGCCACTCTATTCTTTATTTATCTTTATATTTATTTAGATCGTAAATATTAATTTATTAAAAATATCTTAAAATAGTTAAACTTATAATTAATAATTTCTATTATTTTATAAAAAAGAATATAAGTCTGTTAATTAGAAGAATATAAAAGAAAAATAATAATAATAAAAAAGAATTAAATATTTATATTTTTAAGACTTTTTTTAATATTTAAGAGCAAGATAATATTAAAAATTAATAAATTTATAATTAATAAATTCTTACTAATCTAAAAAATAATAATTATTCTTATTATTTCTCAAGCCAGCTAAATAAGAAGAATAAAAAAGATAAAAAAAATTAAATATTTATATTTTTTTAGACTCTGTCTCAGTACCTGAGAATAAGATAATATTAAAAATTGATAAACCTATAATTAGTAAATTCTTATTAATCTAAGAAATAATAATTATTTTTATTATTCTTTAAGCTAGCTGAGCAAGAAGAATATAAAAAAATTAAAAATAAAAAAATTAAATATTTATATTTTTCAGACTCTGTCTTAATATCTGAGATTAAGATATAGATAAGATTAGAATAAATTAAAATATAATAAATTATAAAATTACCAGAAACAGATAGAGATCTTAAATCAGATTTTTAAAAAAAATAATATTATAGATAGAGTGGATTTTGGTTGAAAAACAGGTTAAAAACCAAGCTTTTAAAATCTATATTTGAATAAATATTTTACTGTATATTAATATTTTTAAAATATAATTAAACTTAAGTCTTATTTATATTTATATTTTATATTTTAAATATAGTCTAATATAATTAAGTTATATTTAATATATAACTAATCAGTTTCAGAGTATTTTAATTAGTCAATTTTTAACTATTAAATAATATAATATATTGATAGTGTATTAGATAATAAAAATATATATATAATATAGATCTTATATTTAATAATATAAATTATAATATATAAAATTATATAGAGATTTATATAGTATTTTATCTTTATATCTATATCTGTATTTTTAACTGTTTTGCAGCTTTGCTTAAAACAGTTAACTGTCAGGTTAAAAAAATCCACTCTAAATTTATAGAATATATATTAGAGCTATTTAACTTAATTAATTTATTTTATTAGATTAATATTTACTAAGTTATATATATATATACTTATCAGATCTCTAAGAATTTTTTTTAAATATTAGTTATTTTTTTTATATATACAGGCTTGGTTCTCTATAGCTTATGGGTTCTGCCCCTAACATCTTAACTTTGTAATAGATATATCTTTCTTATACTATCTCATAAGCATCCCTTATAGAATAGTATATAACAGTAATAAATACTTATAATTATATAATTATCTTATATAGCCAAGTTATGTGCCAAGTCACATGCCAGATCCTCACACTTATTTTCTAGCTGTTATTAATATTATCGATTTATTAGTTATTTATTATTTATAAATAATCTTGTTTAGTTTTATTATTATTATTTGACACGCACTGTCTACCTGCAGTAACCATAGTACTTGAAACATTCTTACCGCCCTGATTTGCTTCAGTAACCAAGAGCGGATATTAAAGTTAACATCAACCAACCACAACTGTGAATACAAGACATTAATCAAGCATAAAATTAATATCTCTCTCAGATCACATGCAGGCGGCCCTGCAAAGCAGTAGCTTAGCTGTGATCACACAAAGATTTTCAAATTAAAGCACACCTAATGCAGTTGTTTTACAAAGGCAACAATTATGGATGAAGCTCCGGTCTGCATTCCCGATGCGTCGCAATTACAGGCATCCGAGCAGACCAAGGCTTCCGATATAATTTATTCAGTGAGATGCAAGGACCAAGTTGTGAATGATGGACCTGGTCTCATGCAAGCAAAGGGAGTTCTTGATTACATTGTTCACTTTCTCACAAACTCTAGCAATGAAGCCCTCTTTTGTGTCCTGGCCTGCCTGGCACTCGGAACCTTTGTTGTTTTTGGAAGACTCGGGTTGCTCTTAATTGGAGTCGTGTGCGGTATCGTCTTGCATGCATCATGGGAAGGATTCGACAATTACCCTGCCTATTTTACTGAAGGAAAGAGGGTTTCAAAGAGAAGAGAGCTCTCACTGGAGATAGCCAGGAGACTACTTGATTGGCCTGGACCCAAATTCTGTAATATGGATCCGAGGAATAATAACCCCTCTGAGGAACATAGCGCAGTGACTTTTGACTATCCTTTCCTTGGTTCCGAGACAGTTGCTGCTCTGGCAACTATCACTGATGCAATAATGAAGGAATATGTGAAGTAAGCTTGTCCCTCTATACTAATTCATGGGCTTACCGACCTTCTCAAAGCTACTGGTCCGAACCAATATTACCGCCAGAGACGACATTTCCCCTTTCCTGTCGGAAAATGTTGACTGGGTTTATCTCGTCCATGTCTTTGCACCTGTCTCGTAAACGCGCAGCGGACACATTTCTGGAGCTCCTCACCAATTCATCTTCTCTGATCATTGTACTTCTGAATGAGCTGTCTGCGGTGTTCGAATCCGTCGAGCTTCCCGATCCGCCGGAACAAATCATCGTGCGTTATCTAGAAACATTTCCCGAGAGCAGTCTAGCAAATATTTTGGCGAAGGAGCAACAAAGGAAAAACCTCAATATTATAGCAGGCGATATCCTGTCAAGCTTCCTGGACTCAAAAGTCAATAGCTGCCCGCTTCTGAGAAATTTTCTCTGCGAAATTTTAGCCAATGTGCTATTTGAGTCAACCATCTCCAGTCTTTCGAGACCGGAGGTTATCAATGGCTGGATCATACATCTCCTCAGCAAAGGCGAATTTGAGATAATGACTGCTATAGACGCCGGAGTGGAAACGGCTCAGAAGCAAGGCGTGGCCGCAGTCATAGCCACCAACAACCTCAATAACGTAAATAAGTCTTTATCGACAATGCCAGACAACGCAAAGACTCTCAGAAATGCTCAGCAAGAATCAAGCGACACCGACATGGCAACGGAAGAAGCTGAAGTGGAGGCCAAGCGACTAAGTGACATGATTGCAGCACATGAATTGCAGAGGCAGAACCCAGATAAAGCGATAAATGATAACTCACGGAATGAGACGACTTCGGTCGATGACGCCCTTCGCAGGAACAGCTTACCTGCGGGCCACCCACGATGTGCGGTCAATATTATCAAGCAGTCACAAACAGAGGTCATACGTGATCAATGTGAGGCTGAATTTAAAGAAGCTTCTAAACTCTCTAAGTCTCCATCTGCTGCATCCACATGTCTCAATGACCCGAACTCGAAAAATACGTTGCCGGTGTCAATAGCTCCATCGTCCAGCTTGACTCTTTACCGAGCCTCTATAACGGTAGAAACCGATTCTGAGCTTGGGGGGAAAGGAATGTTCCGCTTAAAACCAACATCAACCTATTTGCTTCAGGTTGAGCCGCTGTCGTCACGCTCCACCGGCTGGATGGTTTTCAGAAAATATACTGATTTCGAGTCGCTTCATGAAACCTTGGAGACTATCTCGAGACTAAACAAGATTCGAGATTTTGCAAAGGACCACCCAGCTTTACCCTCATGGAAAGATCAGACCAAATCGGATTTGGCAAAGAATCTGGAACGCTATCTTCAAGCTGCTCTGCTCCATGAGTCCCTCGCAGAAAGTGAAAGGATGAGGCGATTCTTGGGAAAGGATGAACAGCTTGGGTCTGGACCTACTAGTTCGTTTGGGAAATCTGTATTTCCCTTACCAAGACAAAGTGCGTTTGAAAACTTAGGGAAGGGGGTGTTAGGTGTATTAGCAAGTGCACCCAAAATCGTCTCAGGTGGCAAAACTGTTCCGGAGGGTATGACTGGGGTTTTCAGTGGAGGCATCAGCCAAACGCCGTTACCCGAATCGGTTTTAGGTCATGATGCCAAGTCTGTGGATCTTCCTCTTCATGGAAACAAGTCACTAAATAACAATCTCAAAAAGGAGAGTGAAGGCTCAGCAAGAACTAGATTTATCTATCAATCTGGTAACCATTTATCCTCTATACCCGGCTCCTTGCAACCAGGTGACGGATGTTTTGCACAGTCAACGGAAAGTTTCTCCCAAGAAAACAGTTTGAAAAAGGCTGGTTTAAAAGGGGAAGACTTTCCTGGCGTTATTGCCGAAAATCTAGCCGGGGAGGCAAAACCGAGTATGCATACGGCATCAATTCCTGAGAACAAAGCTCCAATTGACCGGCTGTATATTGGAGACAATGAAATGGGTTCTTCGCACGAAGCCAGCAAAGGACAGACCTCACAGAGTGCTGGGCCGAATGATCTGAAGAACCACAAGAGTCCAATAACACAGGAGGAGACCCGTCTAGCAGTGGAACTCATTTTTGCGGTAATCAATGAACTATACACCCTGTCTTCCGCATGGAACATACGCCGGACCTTGCTCAACGCGGCAAAGTCATATATACTACGTCCTGGCAACCCTAACTTGGAGACAATACGCAGGCTGTTGCAGGAATCAATGATTGATGGTCATACCTCGGATGAGGCAGTTGGGATGTATCTCAATAAACTGCGTGAGAACATATTTCCGACAGAAACAGAATTGAAACACTGGCCTCCGCCCTCTAGCAATGCGGAAAAAGAACAACTTAAGGAGACTGCCCGAAAGGTGTTTATCAAACAAGGCCTACCGCAGGCACTCACAAGTGTTATGGGTACAAGTGCTAGTAGGGAAGCCCTGGGGAAGGTTTTTGATTGTCTGCAGGTTGAGAGTATTGCGCGAGGTTTTGTATATACTCTTTTCTTACAGGCTCTGAAGGCAGCTATCCTTTGATATCATGTCATGTTGTTATAATCCATGGCAACATTGTTTATGTGCTGTGTATCCACAAGACTCTTATCTTGTTGTTGTCTTTGTCAGGAGCACAGAGGCAATTTAGAACCTAGTATTCATCACATGCACATTGGTGCTTTGCTGATTCACTCTGACAGGTTGAGCCAGTCATGTATCTCCACAAACTGCCATGGCTCAATGAACATGCATCTTCTAAATATAAGTATTCATAACTTAACTATGTTTGAAATTTTATTTTTTAAAAGTATTTTATACTTAGTAGAGTGGCTAACAGCCAGGATAGGTTAATAATAACAGTTAAAAAATTTAGATAACAGTTAAAATATTTTATAAAAATTAAAATAAATATATAATTATTATTTAAATAATAAGTATAATCTAAACTAGATAATTATATAATTAATTTTAGTTAATTTCTAAATTATATGATATATAAATTAGAGTGGCTTAACCTGACTGTTATATCTTAATCTTAATCTGGCCATAACCTGGTAATCAGATTAAGATATAAAAAATTTTTAACTGTATAATTAAAATTAGATTAAGATATAATTATTATTATAACTATTTATATCTGCTGATCAGAAAAATCAGATATAGTAAATAAATTAATAATTATAGATTAATTTATAATATATATATTCTTCTTATATAGATAATATATAAAGTATAATATATATTTAATTATAATATAAATATAATAATATTCTTTAGATATAATCTACTGTTTAATCTACTTAATCAGTTATCTTAAAAGATATATTATATTTTAAAAAAGACTTTTATAGAATCTAGTATAGAAGAAATAAAAAAAAATATAAAATATTTATTTTTTATATTATTTAAGATAGTAATTATAATAATATAGAAATTATAAAGACCGGATCTCTATTTTTATTTAAGTATATATAATAATCAAAGACTCAGATAAGACTAGTTCTTTTAATTTTAATAATAATTTATTCTCTGAATTATCTTTAAGATTATTTATATTTTTATTTTTATTAATATAAAAGATAATAATAAGAACTTTTCTTAAGAAGTAAGAACTTTTCTTAAGAAGACTTTATTAAACTTTCACTTTCTTATATAAATTAGGTGCAAAAGTGAGATAAAAGTAAGAGAAAGATAAGAGAAGTAAAAAATAAAAAAAATTAAAAATCAGATAATTAAGTAAGAATTTTTCTCTAATCTCTTAGAAAGACTTTACTGAACTCTCACTTTCTTATATAAATTAAATATAAAAATAAAATAAAAGTAAGATAAAAATAAAAAAAAGATAAGAGAAAAATAAAAAAAATAAAGATTAAATAAATAAAAAAAAGACTAAAAGCTGATTTAACTTAATTAAAACTTATTAAAAAACTGATTAAAAACTAAGAGATCTTTTTATTTATATTTATAGTCAATTGACTATTAAAAGTATATAAAAATATATAAAATTATATAAAAATCATATAAAAATTATATAAATAGAACAGGGCCGAGAATAATAAAACTAGTAATTAAATAAAGACTAGAATAATTAATAAAAATAAGATCTCTTACTCTACTGCGGGATAGACAGAACTTAGAATTATTAATCTATTAATTAATAATCTAAGATAGTTAACTAGTCTGAGACTATAAATTAATAAGTCTTAGACAGCAAACTAATTAGTCTATCTATATTATTAATATATTCCCGCAGTTTTAATAAGATAAAATATCAGAAAAACTGGAGTAAATAAATTACTAAAAATAAAAAATAATAATAATAGAATTTAATAAATTATTATATTTAACTATTTAATAAATTAAGTATATTTCTGATTAAGAAACTGCTTAGTTAGATTATCTATTTATATTTTATTAGTAAATATTTATTAAATATTAATTATTTTATTCAGAGCTTCTTGCCTTAGTCAATAATTAATAATATTAATATATTTCAGACTAGTTCAAAATAAGAAATTCTTATCAGTAAGAATTTTGACTGTTTAATAATTATTATATAATATAGAGAAATATTAATTAAAATTAAATCTTATTTATTTAAAAAATCTTCTTTATTAAAAAAATTGCTTGACTACAGCAGTTAGAGCTAATAATTTAGTTTTAATAATTAAAAGAGTTATATAATACTGTTTCTTGCTTAGCCAATTAATAAAACTATTAAATAAATAAATAATATATCTTATTAAGCTAGCGCGATCTTAATTATCAGCAAAACTAGTATTATTGGCTATATAAAATAAAATAGAACTAGAATTAAATTTAATAGTCAAGTTCTTTATTTTTTTTAAATAAAAGATTAAATAATTCACAGCCCTGAAATATTTAAGACTTGGATTAATTAAATATTCTAAAATTAACTAATATAATTTAATAATATCAGATCTAGTTTAAACTGCAGAATATAGAGCTGACTCTACTTTCTACTAAAATTTATAAATTTAATTAATAATAATCTGATAAAATAAATCTTTCACTAATTTCTTATTTAAAAATAAGAATTTAGGGCTTTTTCTTTGCTCTAAATTAAACTTATTAATAATCTTATTAATATAGTTTAATTATTAAATTCATAACTTTCTATTTAGATAATTATATAAAATTTAAATATTAAGAAATAAATTAATCTCTTCAAGATCTTTGAATTTGAATAATATCATCAATTCTTACTTAAATTTATTAAATTTTTGATAATTTAATTTATAAAATATATAAATTATATTATCCACAAAAATTATTAAAATTATAAATTTATTAATAAAAATATATTAATCTTTCTAAATAGACTTAAGCCCTAGAGCTATTAGTCTCTGTTTTAGAATATTTTATTAAAAAAATAATAAATATCTTAATCTATATAGAGCTTTTTATAATAGAAAAACTGTTTATTTATTTTCTAATTCAGGAATTAGATTTATATAGATTTTTTTTTTAATAAAATTATTAAGAAAGATAGTAATTATATCTAGTTAATTAATTTCCAGATTAAATATAATAATTAGAGCCAAAAAAATTTATATAAATCTAGTTATAAGAATACTAGTATATATTTTTAATTAATCAGATATCTATAAATTACTTTTAATATAAATTCAGGCTTTAAAATCAGTCAGATAATTAGTTTTATTAAATTTATATAAAAATACTTATTTTAATAATAATACTTCAGCTTTATTAGTTTTATAAATTAAATATATATTCTAAGTATTTAAAACTTTTAATTAATTAATTTCAGTTTTAGCAGTCTGAGTAAATTAGCTTAAAAATATATAATTTCTTATTTCTTGTTAGTTAATAGACAGAGATAAAAGTAATAAGAAATTAATATAGAGAATTTCACTTTTATTAATATAATTAATTATTATTTAAATAACTTAAAAAGTAAGTCTAGTTTTTTTAGAATTAAAATTAGATAATTCTAAGCGGGTCTGTTTCAGATCTCTAATTAATTTAATATCTAAGAACTTAGTTTTATTAATCAGCTTATTAATATTTAAATTATTAATAAGAATCTAAGGCGATAAAAAAGATAAATTAGATAATAAAAATAATAAATTCTCTATAATTATATTATTATTTTATAAGATATTTAATTAATTACTTAAGATTACTAACTGGTTTGATTTAATAGTTAATTAATCTTATTCTAATTAATTATCTGATAAAAATTCAGATATTTGCTTTGATATTTCTAAATTAGAAAGATTCTTATTTATATCAGATTCTTTAGATTCTTTAGAAATAGAGATATCTAATTATTTTAATTAAATAAAATTAACTAATTTAATTATTTTTTACTTTATTAATAGATTTTCTAATTTAATATATTATTTATAATTAAAATTTTTATTAAAAATAATATCACGAGCTGAAATTATTCTTTTAAAAATAAATATCTAGATCTGTTAAATATTAGTTATCTAATAATTAATTAGATAATTAATTAGAGCTCTGGGCCCTAGTTTATCTTCTTTAAATAAATTACTAATTTAAATATAGATATATAATCTATATTTTCTTAAATAAAAAATATCTGGTTTCTTAAATAACTGTGAAAGACTTTTTCAGACAGTTTTATATAATATTTTCTAATTTAATTATTTATTTAATATTCTGTTTAGAATAAAAATAGTTAAATCTATTATTTTAGATTATAAAAATATAGAAAGCCCTAAATTAATTAATAAACTTCTTATTTTAAAAATAATTAAAACTCTGGATTTTTCTATATATAGATTTTGCTCTGGCTAATAAACTAATAAATAATTAATTAGTAAATTTTTAATACTAGCCCAGATTAAAAAAATATCAAGATTCTAATTTTAATTAGAATAAAATCTCTTGAATATTATTTTAAACTAATTAATAATTAATTAAATTATATTAATAATTGATTCTAAAATATCTGATTTAAAAATTAGAGCTTATTCTAGATAAAATTTTAAATAGAAATAATAAAGATAACTAATATATCTTTATTTATTAATTTTATTTATTATATAAATTAAGTTTTAATAAATTAATTCAAATGCCTGATTTCTTTTCTTAAATTTTTATCTTAAAATTTATCTTTCTAATTGACTAATTTTATATATAAGATATTTTTTAATTTAACTTAGTTTATCTAAGCTAGTCTATTTTAATAAATCAGTAATATTAATTTTCTGAACTAAATTACTTAAATAATTTAGAACTTTTTTATTAAAATATTCTAATTTTTTATATTATTCTTTAACTATTTCAGATATTATATATTAGTGTTCTGAGAGTTTAATTAGCTTAAGACTATAAATTAATAAGTCTAAGATAATTAATTAACTTATCTTAATAATAATAATTATAGCAGAACTAGATTTTTATTTTTATTAAATATAATATATTTCTTTAATTTTCTTAATTTAATATAGTAGAGTTCTATCTGCTTGTTTAAGAAATCTATCTTTTTTATTTAAAAATAGTCTTTTTTTGTCAGCTTTTACAGCTGAGAGAATATTTATATAAAATTAAGAAATATAAATTATTTTTTTAAGTTTAAAATATAGATCTTTTTTATTTAAATAAATAAAATAAAAAATAATTATTTTATAGTCTTAAATAACTAAGATAATATCTTTTATTTTTACTAATCTACTTCTATTTATAATAGAAGTATAATTAATAAAGAAATTTAAAAAATTACAGATATAATTATCTGAAGTAGTATTAAAAGTTTATTAAAATAAATAAAATATTAATAATTATTTTAAATAGATAGTTTATTAATTTATTACTAAGAAGATCTTTTCTGCTTTGTTAATTACTTTATTATTTTTATTAAATAAAGACAGTATTTAATAAGTCTGATAATATTATTTAAAAAAATATCTTAATTTAGAGCTATTTTTAAAAATATCTTTAAAATAATTTAAGATTTCAGTCTTAGACTTTTATTCAGAATCTCTTAGTTTCTTATTAATATAAAAATAATTATTAAAATTATAAAATCTATTATTCTTGTCTGATTTATATAGACAGGGCCAATTCTTAAATCTTTATTTTTTTATTAATATTTTATTATTTTAAAAAGTTTATTTTAACTCAGTTATTAAAATAGTTATTAAAATAATTAATTTAGAATTATCTAAAAGATTTTAAAAGAAGATATAGCTAATTCTATTACTGCTATTATTAACTAGCTTAATAGATTATTTAATTTAGAAATTTAAATAAATTTAATTATATATTTTTTATATTATTTTAAGAAACTCAGATAGTTTTTTCTGATTATTCTTATTATTAATTAATTTTAATTATTAAATTATTACAAAATTGCTTATTATTTTCTGAACTAATTTAAAAAAATTATAAATTATTTAAATAGAACTAATAATCTTACTTAATTTTAGCTTTACTGCTTCTGAATAAACAAGCTTTTATTAAATTATATAATTTTTAATAAAACTTTTTATTTCTGAGAATTACAGCTTATAATATTTATTAATAACTTTTTTTATATAGAACTAATTAATAGAAGCAATTCTCTTTTTTAAAGCTTATAAAATTTAATAAGATCTTTTTAAATTAAGTATAATATACTGATTTTGTTTACTTAATATAAAATTTATTAATAAACTTAAAAAGACTAGTCCAGAGATAATTTTTTTCTATTTCTTAAATTAATAATTAAATTAATTTATAATTTTCTAATATAAAAAATAATCTGATTTACTGAGATCTACTATTAAAGTAATATAATAATTAAAGTCTGAAATAGATATAGTAACTAACTTGATAGAATAATTAAGTTTCTTAGATAAATCTAGATTTATATATTCTCAGATATTCTTATTAATAATAAATAATTAAATTTAATTAATCTAAAGAAACTAATCAGATTGATTATTAAGAATAATAAAAACTTTTTTAAATTACTGATTTTAAGATATAATAAAAAATAATTAAAAAATTTAAGAATTTAAATAAGTCTTATTTTTATTTAAAAGTTCTATAATTTTCTATATAAATTTTAAGTCAGAGATAAAGTAAAAATAAAAGAAATAAAAAAATATAAAGAGTCTCAGAGATATTAATAAAAAATTAATATAAGAGTATAATCAGACTTATAACTAAGAACTTTTCTTAAGAAGTAAGAACTTTTCTTAAAAAAACTTTATTAAACTTTCACTTTCTTATATAAATTAGATACAAAAGTGAGGTGAAAGTAAGAGAAAGATAAGAAAAGTAAAAAATAAAAAAATCAAAGATTAGATAATTAAATAAGAACTTTTTTCTAATCTCTTAGAAAGACTTTACTAAACTCTTACTTTCTTATATAAATTAAATATAAAAATAAGATAAAAGTAAGATAAAAATAAAAGAAAGATAAAAAAAAGATAAAAAAAATAAAGATTAAATAAATAAGAAAAAGACTAAAAGCTGATTTAACTTAATTAAAACTTATTAAAAAACTAATTAAAAACTAAGAGATCTTTTTATTTATATTTATAGCCAATTGGCTATCAAAAGTATATAAAAATATATAAAATTATATAAAAATTATATAAAAATTATATAAATAAAACAGAGCTAAGAATAATAAAATCAGTAATTAAATAAAAACTAGAATAATTAATAAAAATAAAATCTTTTACTCCGCTGCAGAATAGACAGAACTTGAAATTATCAATCTGCTAACTAATAGCCTAAGGCAGCTAACTGGCCTGAGGCCGCAAATTAGTGAGCCTTAGGCAGCGAACTGGCCAGTCTGCCCATATTGTTGACAAATAATTATCTTATTTTTTTCTTATTTTTTAAATATAAAAATAATTAAATCTAGATTAAAATTATTAAATATATTCTAATATTTTTTACTTATAATAAAATAATTAGTATATATTTAAAATATAATTATTTTAATTATATTAGGATTAAGACAGCTCTAATAATAGTAATAAATATTTTAAAAATTATTAAAAAGATATTTAATACTAATATTATTAATTATAACTAAGAGAAAATCTCTAGTTATCTAATAAAGAATAGAAAACTAATTATAGTAAAACTTTTAGTAAACAAGAATATTAATATATTCTGTAATATCTGAAATTATATTAGTTTAATTAAAGATATTTTAAAAAATTATATATTTTTAATATCTAGATATATCTTAAGTTCTTTATATATTTTAATAAGAACTGGATATAGAATAATTTTCTGATTTTTTATAATATATATAATATTAAGATTTGAGAAAGAAGAAAAGATCTGACTTAAAAAATTTATTTTAGTTTAAGTATTATTATAATTTATAAAAATCTAAAAAATAAAAGAAAAAGACTTAATAATATTCTTTAAAAATAAATTAAATAATTATAATTAATTTATAATTCTGAAACTATTTTATAAATAATAAATATAAAAAAATAAAAGCAGAAAACTCTGCAAAGATAGTTTATTTTATTTTAAAATATAATTTTATATAAATATAATTTATTATATTTTAATATATAACTAAGGCGCCCGCTATATCTTATTTATTTTAATAAATCTAGTAATCAGAAATTTATATCTAAAGCCTAGAGTTATAAAATAGTCTCTTTTTTTAAATAAAACTATTTAAGATATAATAAACTAGAATAGAAAGTAGATATTTATAAAAAAAATTTATAAAAGATTTTTATAGAATCTTTTATAAGAGCTGTAGTATTATAATATAGATCTAATATATTTTATTTATTTATTCTATTTATTTAATTTATTTAATCTATTTAATCTATTTAATCTATTTAATCTATTCTATTTTAATAATCTGATTATTTATAATCTTTTTAATTATTTATTAATTTCTAATTTTATTAATAGCTCTTCGAGCTATATCTTATTTATAAATCTAAGAATAGTCTGATTTAGAAGAAATAATAGAATAAAAATAATATATTTATTTTTAGTATTCTAATTAATAATTAATATATAGTTTTTCTAGTATTCTATAATATAATTAAAATATATAATTAAAATAGAATAATAATTATATATCTTTATATATATTTTTTATTATAAAAATAATAATTTTATAAAAAGCTAAATTTTATTAATATAACTAGAATTTTCTTATTATTTTTAATAAATAATAATAAAGAAGATACTAATTTTTTTTTAATTATATTTTTTTAATTTAAAAAGCTTCTTTTTATATATTTTTAGATAATAATAAAGATAGCCAGATTAATAACTATTTAATCTAAATATATCTTAATTATACTAGAGCTTAAAAAATATAGCAGATAGATCTTAGTACTAAGAATAATTAAAATAATTAATTATCTGATTTTTAACTATACTATAATTAGATATAAAAATTTCTTTAATCTAATTATAATCTGGCGGTTAGATATAAAAATTCTAATTAACCTGATCTGACCTGGCTGTTAGCCACTCTAATATAAATATTATTATAAAATACTTAATAGTTAAAGATTATTATATAAAATTAGAGTGGCTAACAGCCAGGTCAGATCAGGTTAATTAGAATTTTTATATTTAACAGCCAGATTATAATTAGATTAAGAAAATTTTTATATCTGATTATAATATAACTAAAAATCAGATAATTAATTATTTTAATTATTTTTAATATTAAAATCTATTTATTATATTTTTTTAAGCTTTAATATAATTAAGATATATTTAGATTAAATAATTATTAATCTGGCTATCTTTATTATTATCTAAAAATATATAAAAAGAAGCTTTTTAGATTAAAAAAATATAATTAAAAAAAATTAATATTTTTTTATTATTATTTATTAGAAATAATAAGAAAATTCTAATTATATTAATAAAATTTAGCTTTTTATAAAATTATTATTCTTATAATAAAATATATATATATAAATATATAATTATTATTCTATTTTAGTTATATATTTTAATTATATTATAGAATATTAGAAAAACTATATATTAATTATTAATTAAAATATTAGAAATAAATATATTATTTTTATTTTATTATTTCTTCTAAATTAAATTATTCTTAGATTTATAAATAAAATATAGCTCAAAGAGCTATTAATAAAATTAAAAATAAATTATAAATTATATACAGAACAGTTAGAAAGAATAGTAAGATTATTAAAATAAAATAAATTAAATAGATTAAATAAATTAAATAAATTAAATAAATTAAATAAATTAAATAAATTAAATAAATTAAATAAATTAAATAAATTAAATAAATTAAATAAATTAAATAAATTAAATAAATTAAATAAATTAAATTAAATAAATTAAATAAATTAAATAAATTAAATAAATTAAATAAATTAAATAAATTAAATAAATTAAATAAATTAAATAAATTAAATAAATTAAATAAATTAAATAAATTAAATAAATTAAATAAATAGAATAGATAAATAAAATAGATAAAATATATTAAATTTATATTATAATATTATAGCTCTTATAATAAATTTTATAAAAACTTTTTATAAATCTTTTTTATAAATATTTATTTTTTATTTTAATTTATTATATTTTAAACAGCTTTATTTAAAAAAAGAAATTATTTTATAATTTTAAGTTTTAAATATAAATTTCTGCTTACTAAATCTATTAAAATAAATAAAATATAATAAATATCTGAGCTGTATATTAAAATATAATAAATTATATTTATATAAAATTATATTTTAAAATAAAATAAACTATCTTTATAGAGTTTTCTGTTTTTATCTTTTTATATTTATTATTCATAAAATAGCTTTAAAATTATAAATTAATTATAATTATTTAATTTATTTTCAGACAATATTATTAAGCTTTTTTTTATTTTTTAGATTTTTGTAAATTATAATAATACTTAAACTAAGATAAATCTTTTAAATTAGATCTTTTTTTTTTCTAAATCTTAAGATTATATATATCACAAAAAATCAGAAGATTATTTTATATTTAGTTTTTTAAAAAAAACTTTTAATTTTTTAAAAAAAACTTTTAATTTTTTAAAATTAATAATAAAAAATAATTCTTTTTAAAAATTATATATAAATTAAAGAAAGACCTATTATTTTATTTTAATTAGAAAAAATTATTAATAATATAAAATAGCTTTTAAAAAAATATATTATTCTTTAATAAACTTTTTTATATTTATTATATTATATATCTTTATATTTTATAATATTTAAAAATTAAAAACTTAAAAACTAGTTTCTTAAATTATTATTTTTATAAGAATTATAAAAAGAAATTATTATTAGTTATATCTAAATAAATAATTAATTAAATATTAAGTAAAGAATTATTACAGATATTTATTTATTTTTTTAAAATAAATCTTTTTTAATTATTATCTTTCTCTAGATCTTTATAATTTATAATAAATAAAACTTTTAAAATTAAATTCTATATTTTATAATTATCTGTTATCTATTATTCTGAACTATTAAATATATTTAATTTAAATAAATAATTAATCTTATTATTTTATTTTTTTATTAAAAATTAAATTCTTCTGATTAAATATAGATTAAAAAATATCTTATAAAACTATTTAAAAATATATATATATAATTATTATTAAAGTTTCTAAATATTAAATAAATATTAATTATAATAAACTACTAAATCAGTTTTAATTAAAAAATATTTCTTAATTTAATCAGATATTTTTTAATAAAAAATATAAATTATTATAAGATTTTACTAGACTTTTAATTAATATCTAGATTTTATATTAATAAAAATCTAGCTATAATTATTCTATTAGTCTTATATAAATATAATTTTATTTATTAATTATTAGATATAATAACTAATAATACTAGTAATAATAATATATTATTTAATATAATTTTAGTTAAAGTCTGAATTTAACTTAGTTAGAGAATTTAATTTTATAATATTTTAGTTAAGTCTAATTTTTTAAAAATTATTTAAAACTAGTATTATATTTTTTATTTTATTTATATAATTTAATTTATAATTAATATTCTTCTATAGAAACTTTAGATTAAGATCTTAAATAATATTATTAAATATATATAAAAAAATAATAATAAAAATCTTAAAGTTTCTTTTAATATTTTAAAAATTTTTAAAGAAATATATTCTAAAAGCTATTTATAAAAAATTAATATAAAATCTTCTTTTATAAAAAGTTTCTAAAAGTCTTTTATTAGCTAGTTTATTATACTAATTCTTGGAGTGGCTAACAGTCAGGTCAGATTAGGTTAATTATAATTTTTATATCTAATCACCAGATTATAATTAGATTAAGAAAATTTTTATATCTAATTATAATATAATTAAAAATCAGATAATTTATTATTTTAATTATTCTTAATATTAAAATCTATTTATTATATTTTTTTAAGCTCTAGTATAATTAAGATATATTTAGATTAAATAATTATTAATCTGACTATCTTTATTATTATTTAAAAATATATAAAAAGAAGCTTTTTAGATTAAAAAAATATAATTAAAAAAAATTAATATCTTTTTTATTATTATTTGTTAAAAATAATAAAATAATTTTAGTTATTTTAACAAAATTTAGCTTTTTATAAAATTATTATTCTTATAATAAAAAATATATATAAAAATATATAATTATTATTTTATTTTAATTATATATCTTAATTATATTATATAAAATACTAGAAAAACTATATATTAATTATTAATTAAAATACTAGAAATAAATATATTATTTTTATTTTATTATTTCTTTTAGATTAAATTATTCTTAAATTTATAAATAAGATATAGCTCAAAAAGCTATTAATAAAATTAAAAATAATTAAATAATTAAAAAAATTATAAATAATTAGATTATTAGAATAAAGCAGATTAGATAGATTAAATAAATTAAATAAATAAAATAGATAAATAAAATAAATAAAATATATTAGATCTGTATTATAATATTATAGTTTATATAAAAAATTTTATAAAAATCTTTTATAAATCTTTTTTATAAATATTTATTTTTTATTTTAATTTATTATATTTTAAACAGTTTTATTTAAAAAGAAAATTATTTTATAATTTTAAGTTTTAGATATAAATTTCTATTTATTAAATTTATTAAAATAAATAAAATATAACAGATATCTTAACTATATATTAAAATATAATAAATTATATTTATATAAAATTATATTTTAAAATAAAATAAATTATTTTTATAAAGTTTTCTACTTCTATTTTTTTATATTTATTATTTATAAAATAATTTTAGAATTATAAGTTAATTATAATTATTTAATTTATTTTTAAAAAATATTATTAAGTTTTTTTCTTTTATTTCTTAGATTTTTATAAATTATAATAATATTTAAATTAAAATAAGCTTTTTAAATCAGATCTTTTTTTTTTAAATCTTAAGATTATATATATTATAAAGAATTAGAAAATTATCTTATATTTAGTTTTTTAAAAAAAGCTTTTTATTTTTTAAAATTAATAATAGAAAATAATCTTTTCTAAAAATTATATATAAATTTAAAAACTATTATTTTATTTTAATTAAGAAAAATTATTAATAATATAAAATAATTTTTAGAAAGATATATTATTTTTTAATAAAACTTTTTATATTTATTATATTATATATTTTTATATTTTATAATACTTAAAAATTAAAAATTCAGAAACTAGTTTTATAAGCTATTATTTTTATAAAAATTATAAAAAGAAATTATTATTAATTATATTTAAATAATTAATTAATTAGATATTAAGTAAAGAATTATTATAGATATTTATTTATTTTTTTAAGATAAATCTTTTTTAATTATTATCTTTTTCTAAATCTCTATAATTTATAATAAACAGGATTTTTAAAATTAAATTCTATATTTTATAATTATTTATTATTTATTATTCTAAATTATTAAATATATTTAATTTAAATAAATAATTAATCTTATTATTTTATTTTTTTGCTGAAAATCAAGTTCTTCTAATTAAATATAAATTAAAAAATATCTTATAAAATTATTTAAAAAGATATATATATAATTATTATTAAAATTTTTAAATATTAAATAAATATTAATTATAATAGATTACTGAATTAGTTTTAATTAAAAAATATTTTTTAATTTAATTAAATATTTCTTAATAAAAAATATAGATTATTATAAGATTTTACTAGACTTTTAATTAATATCTAAATTTTATATTAATAAAAATCTAGCTATAATTATTTTATTAATCTTATATAAATATAATCTTATTTATTAATTATAAGATATAATAATTAATAATATTAATAATAATAATATAATATTTAATATAATCTTAGCTAAACTTTAAACTTAATTTAGTTAGAATATTTAATTTTATAATATTCTACTTAATTTTAATTTTTTAAAAATTATTTTAAATTAATATTATATTTTTTATCTTATTTATATAATTTAGTTTATAATTAATACTCTTCTATAAAAGCTTTAGATTAAGATCTTAAATAATATTATTAAATATATATAAAAAAATAATAATAAAAATCTTAAAAAATTTTTTAATATTTTCAAAAATTTTTAGAAAATATATTCTAGAAATTATTTATAAAAAATTAATATAAAATTTTTTTTTATAAAAAGATTCTAGAAGTTTTCTATCAGCTAGTTTATTATATTAATTTTTAATTATAAATTTAAAAAATTATATAATTTATAAATATAAATTCTTAATATTATAAGAAATTCTTATTTATTTAATAATTTAAATCTGATTTAATTTATTATTTTTTTCTTAATTATAAAATTTACTGAAACTTAATTTATTTTATAATTTATTAAATACTTAATTTTTATTAAATAATTAAAACTTTTATTTAATATTATAAATATAATAATATTAATTATTTTTATTTTATTATAATTAAATAAAAATAAATAAAATATCTTCTTAAGCTTTTATATTTCTTTTTCTATCTCTCTAAAAATAATAGATTTATTATTTATAATATTTATAATATTTATAATATTTATAATATTTATAATATTTATAATATTTATAATATTTATAATAATCTTTTTAATTATCTGAATTATTCAATTAATAAACTAGAAAAAAAATAAATATTTTAAAAAAGAATTC